TTGTAGCACCTTGAGAAAATGAAAAATAAAATGATATGAATGTAATAAAAAATGTCTTTAATATTTTTCATGATTAATGGTAAGTAGTTTTTATGATTTCTACATCATCAGTCCCTTCTTTTTCCACTGTTGCCAAAATGTAGAGTGATGGTAAAGCCACTCTTGCCCTTTATGCTTAGCCACGTAGCTTCTACAGTAGATCACACGGTCACGTAGTTTCCACGCTCTAGTTCTATATAACCTCCTTGGTTTGCCCTGAGATGGACTGGTGACCTAACCAGGCTGTACCTAGCCTCTCAACCTTTATCCAAGTGCTGCAGAAAGGCACCAGTTTTCCCATGAATCCTGGTGTTTTCACCGCTTGCTGCCGTTCATGAATGTTTTAGTGGCACGAGATTAAACAGGCATAGAAAATGAGGAGGTGAATGTTTAAAGGATTCTATAGGAGAGTTTGAATGTTTGATTTCATAGCATGGAAGTGTAAACTACACAGAAGTAACTGTCTTTCTTCTCAGTCAAAACAGAGGATTTGCAGAAGACCTGATGAACCTTAACTATGATGTGTCTCAGATATGGAGTTTCTGGAGGCTTTGATGGAAGGCCTGGACCGTGTCCTGCTGGTTCGTGGAGGAGGTCGGGAGGTCATYACTATCTACTCTTAGCCACAAAACGTATTTTTACTGATCTCGTCTCCCATGGGAGGAAAACTTGGTTGGATGGTGGGATCTCAGTGACGTGGGTTGGAGGTTCAGAGGGAGCACGAGGGGGGGCACTGACAGTTCCCAACAGTGTTAGGAGAAAAGAAATAACTAAACCATTGGAGCAAYGATGCTGTGAAGGACAAGGCTCTGCCTGCACACAGCTCAGCGCACACTCTGTAAAAAAAAAACACTCTTACCTTTTCAGGCTTTTTTTTTTACCACAATCATTCCAGTTCATACTGGAATGGTTTTCAACATGGTATAGATCTTCTGTGATGATTTTTTTGAAAGAACATGAGCTGCTTGTTTTTGTGGCTGCCACTGAGCTGATAGATTTTATGGAGAAACAACAACAAAATAAACAGAAGTTAGTATTTATTTCGGTACCAGGTATGATATTTTTGACTTTTTTTATGGCCGTATGTGTTTAGCATACAAACAATCCTACAGAATTTAACCAACTTAAAACTAGTGAGTATTTTAGTAATCATTAATTGAGTTCTGTGAACAAAAATAGACATATTGATGGTTAGTTCAGTGATTTTTTTTTTTTTAATCTTTGGTCAATGCTTTTTAAATGTCTTYGTGGTTTCAGACAAGACAGTTGTGAGAAAATGCAACAGAAACCGTTTTAGACTTTTAAAAATTAAAGAACATTATTGTGTAAAGCAATTGTGTGAAGTTATTTTATAAAATACGCTAATGCTGTACTCACTGGTACTGATGTTAATGAGGTAAACGGCTGTTTTTAAATTACATTTTCTTTTTTATTTCTAACATAGACACATTTTTCTGTAATTTGCCTATTTTAGGTTTTTAAAAATCTGCATGTTCTTTGATTATTTTGCAGAGAACTAAGTTAAAATTAAAATAAAAGGGAACATCAGATTAAAAACACTGAATATGACGGCCTGATTTTGTAGACTGACTGCGACACAGTCATGGTATTTTGCACAATAWAGCTCAAAAGGTTTTAGACTAGTATTTTAATTTGTCTGACAGATGACACACTCCAAATGTCATGCTGCAGAATAAAAGCATCATATCAGATCTGGCTTTAGAGCTGCAATTTCATCAAATATTATTTTAGCTGATGTATTTTTATAATTACCTGCCAATACAGATTCTGTAACCATTAACAGTTTGTGAGTAAAAAAAAACTGATCTACATTTAAACCAGTTAGGTATAGAAGTGCAGTAGTTAGTATTTCTGGAGGGCATGTGTCATGATGTTTGTTATTAATAATAACATTAAACCCTGACTGAAGCAGTTTTATTACAAATGTCCGGCTGTGACATTTGAAAAATATTGCTGGAAAAATTGTGATGCACTTTTTGAACTTTCTTTTCAAACTGATCATTTCTTGTTTTTGTTTTTTCTTTTGTTTTTCATCCAGCAGGAATTTATAAAATTATATTTTTGAAAAGTTTAATGTCAAGTGAAATGTCCTGCTGTATTTTTCTTTTACCTGACACTTGCAAATGTTTTTGATATTTTCATGTAATCATATTTATGTTTATTATCATGAGGCATCCATGGCTTTTTGTGATCTCTGAATGCTCTCTGTCCAAATAAAGACCTGCAGAATGCTTTTAACCTTTGGTTGGTCAGGTTTTTTTTTTTTTTTTGATCAAAGTCTTTTTATTATTTTTTTAACACAAACTACATTAAAAAAAAACAAGAACACAAAACAAAACATACACACACCCAAAATCCCTCCCATCCCTCCCCTCCTATACCGGATCCACTGAAATAACAAAAATCGATCTTGTATTCATCAAATGATACAATATTTAACCTTTACACAAAATTATCTGCTGAAAATTTTTCTACGTAAGATAAAAATGGCCGCCAGATATCAAAGAATTTGTTTACAGATCCCCTAAAAGTCTATCTAATCTCTAAATGAATGTAAGACATAACTTCTCTTAACCAATGACCATATGCTGGAGGATGTGGATCCTTCCATCGAGCCAGTAGAGAGCAGAAAGCYAACACCGTCCTCTGATGTTCACTGAGGGAAGCCTCTGCTGGAGCCACCCCAAARAGAGARATGAATGGTGAAGGATGAACAGTTCGTCCAAATAGTCCTGAAAAGGTGTCAAAGATGCCTTGCCAGTATCCATGTAACTTYGGACAGGACCAGAATGTGTGCAGAAGTGTGGCAGGAGATTGTCCGCAGCGATCACACGATGGATCCAAATCCTTTTTGGATTTGCACAATCTGTCCTTAGACCAGTGTAGACGATGTACTACCTTGAGTTGAACTATAACGTTTGGTTGGTCAGTTTTAAATCTGTCTTACACTTAACTTCAAAACTGGYATGGAAAAATAAAAAGATAAAAGTGTTTTCAAATTTGCTTCTTTTTATTACCAAAAACTTATTTAATGCACTCACAAGTCATAAATGTAGAGAAATTAGTCCATTCCAATAGACAATAACAGCAATCATGAACATTTTAATTTAATTGATGGATTCAGAGGTTTTGCTCTTCAGTGAACATTTAAATACTTTTGAGGAGTGGCTGAAATGAAGGTCGTTATTTTTCAATCTGAGACTATGGAGCTTCAAGAAAAACATGTTTGACTGCAAACAAAAGGAGTCGTCAAAGTTTCACAGTAACTGTTTGTAATAAAAGTACTTTTATTTTAAGGGATTCACAAGAAAAAAACTATTTAACAAAAACTCAAGTACCAGCTCAGGAAGTTATTTATTCAGAGGAAATACTTTTTTTTTCTTTCACACTGAGCTCATCTTGTTTATTTTTTCTTTTTTTTTTTTGTATATGCCAAATAGAATAGAATAGAATAGAATAGAATAGAATAGAATAGAATAGAATAGAATAGCCTTTATTGTCCTGCAGCGGGGAAATTCAGGTGTCACAGCAGCATCAGTACAAAGGTTCACACTAGTTACTTTACAAACATGAATAGTACACACAAAACAAAATTAACACTTACTAGCCGTGATACAACTACTAACAGTGAGTTAAACTTCGCATTGCACTGTTAAAACTACTTTCTGTGTCATCTTTGTGTCTCCGTATCTTAAAGCTTGTTGGTTTCTTGCCATAACGATGAGTTGTTTTTGTTTGAACCACATGACAGAGCTGGAACTTTGTCATTTCTTACATAACTGACCTGGTCCTGATGCATCTCAGTAATCCAGGTAAAAAATCAAAAAGAAAAAAATTGTATAGGTCCTCTGGATGGGTTCTTCTCTAACGAATTTCCTGAAAGCAGACGTGAAACACAGACAGGATTCCATGCAACCYTCAGGTGAAAATGAAGACCCCAAACCTAGACCCAAACCAGTGGTTATTCCGTATGTTGCGGGTGTTTCGGAGAAACTGAGACGTTTATTTTCTAAACATGATGTCCCAGTAGCTTTCAAACCCCAAAACACATTACGGCAAAGGCTGGTTCACCCCAAAGATCCGGTGCCCCGGCACAAACAGAGCAATGTTGTATATGCTGTGAAGTGCCAGGAGGACTGCGACCAGTTATACATCGGGGAAACAAAGCAACCACTGTTTAAAAGAATGTCCCAACACAGACGAGCTACATCTAATGGCCAGAACTCTGCAGTTTTCACTCATTTACAGGCCAGCGGTCACTCTTTCAGAGATGAGGATGTTATCATTCTTGACAGGGAGGAACGTTGGTTTGAGAGAGGAGTAAAAGAAGCCATTTTTGTGAAGAAAGACCGTCCWTCATTAAACAGAGGTGGAGGCCTCCGTTTTCAGTTGTCCCCCTCCTACAGCGCGGCTATTGCCAGTATCACTCCACCCCCTGTTAACAATAGGTGTTAATTAGGTGTCAACGATAGCCATGTGATGTGTCTTCAGTCTGAAACTCTCAGACTGAAGAAGTCTCTTGGAGGAGAGATGAAACGTTTCATTAGAGAAGAACCCGTCCAGAAGACCTATACAATTTTTTTCATTTTGATAACTGACCTGGGTTAGTTTCTGAAAGAGTGATTTAATCTTAAAATCATTATTGTCTTGTGAATCCCAAAAGAACAAAAAACAAATTTAGGAGCTGCATTAAGAAAGTTTAGAGAGAGCTTTATTGTCATCGTACAGAGCACAATGAAATTACAGACAAGTTGGTGGCAAACTGGGCACAGGATGAATGGCTTTCTGTTTGTTGCAGAGAGACAGGCTGGATGGGTGAGAACTCAAAACAACAACAACCTGCCCAGTCTGATGCTGTGATTTTTGTGTGAATTCAGACTTCCTGTCCACAATCATTATCCTTTGCTCAGTTTCCTTATCAAGATTTACAATCGTGTATGTAAGTATGTGACCCAGATGGTACAAAGCATGACTTTTCATTATTTTCTGTGCAAATCCCCCTGGACAGCATGTTTACATTTCATTTTCTCTCTTTAGACTGAAGAAAGATAAAGTGGGAAGCCTCCAGCAATAAGCTGTTGCATCTCATCTGCAAAACCCTTTGTTATCCTCAGGAAACAGCATTTTATTTTCATAGCCAACGGTTTGTTCTAAGTCATGATGTTCCTACTCCCTTCGCTGACCTTTGAGTAAACTCTGAGGCTTGTTTTTAAGTATCTGTCTATCTAAAAGCTATTAKAGGAGCTGAAGAGGGAAAAGACAAGTGGCTGAGCCAAAAAGGATGCAGGGGTGAAGGAGGAAGGCTGAGGTGAAGCAAGGCTCTTTGATTTTTAATCTCAGCCATTATCTATCCCACATCCAACATCACCTGGATTATTCCACTGACTCCACGTTGACCTTATAGATACCTGAAGATTTGTTTTTATTGGAATGGGAAAGAAGACTTCAATCTCTCTCTCTCTCTCTCTCTCTCTCTCTCTCTCTCTCTCTCTCTCTCCCCTCCCCCATCCTGTGTCACAGATAATTGAGCTTCCACAGCCCCTTAAAAATACACATTCTGTGACTGTACTCACACGGATAATACTGCAAAAAATAAATTAATAAAAAGTAAAAATTGTTTAAAAATTCCAGTCAAAACAAAGACATTTAGATGAAAGCATTTTGAAGCTGCCAAACGCTAACTATTTGGTCAAAATAAGTTGTGGAATGTTTAAAATGACTTCAGTCAAAATTGGTTTTATTCAGAAACTTCAGTTTCTTTAAACATGTTTGTTAAATTAGGTTAATAAAGCTGGAGTTGAGTTGTTTGAACTTAATGAAGCAGAACAAAAGCAACAGTAAAAAATTGCAGTTTAAGGGCAACAAATAACAAAATGTCAGCTGAAAACAAAAGGCAGCAAAATGACTAAAAACAAAATGTACCAAAAAGTTAGCTAAAAGCTATTGAAAAGAAGAAAACATAGTTTAACGTAGCAATGCTAGCTAAAAGTACCAAGTCCAGATAAAACTAAATTAGTAAAGGTTCTSTAAGTGGCAGAGTGATACCTACAAACTGAAATTAGCAACAAAAAGCTAAAAAAAAGACAAAAAATAAATATGTTGAAGCATATTTCGAAGAGAACGTGTTTAAATGTAGTGAAGACGTCTCAATTTGTCAAAAAAAATGTTAAACATTAAAAAAGTAGAAAGATTACAGCGAAACAGAAAGTGTTGATAGATGAATGGCTAAAATACATGTAGCACAAAATATGCAAAACAAGTTAGACTGCGAAAGGTTTATAGGAAAATAAAAACAAGTGAAGCAATTTTCTGAATGCTGAGTCAGCAGTCACACTGTAAACTCTGTGTAGAACTGGGTGGCCCAGTGTTTAGAAAGGGCAAAGATGGACCTGCTGTGACCTGTCTGGTGTGTACCTCACCTTTGTGCACGAGTCTGCTGCTTGGGGGTCCACAGCAGCACATCATCATTTGTCAACGCAAACACAATGTGTTCTCTGAATATTGCACATGAATAATGTGTGACCAGACTGAAATAAACCATTAGGAGAATAGTTCATTTATGAGCAAAAGTTAAAGCTGCAATCGGAAGTCCTTGGGGAGTTCCTCAACTGTAAGAGAGGTTCTTAGTCTAAAAGTAGCTCATTAAATTGTTTCAGTAGAACTTATGAGGAATCAAGATCACACAAAAAGTCTCATCAGCAGATCATCAACTAACGATGTCTCAAGTTTAATGTGATCCCAGCTTAAAGGCTGAAAGAGTCTACTGAGGGAGTTAAGAGAAGGKTTTTTTTTTTTTAGTTTTAGGGAGTCAAATTTCCCAACTTGGTGGTGCAGCTCTTAACTGAGAAAGTCTTTGTGCTGAGAGAGAGAGAGAGAGAGAGAGAGAGAGAGAGAGAGAGAGAGAG